CTGTCGTGGAAGAATTGCCGAGTTGCAGGAGGTCAGAGCCATTACCAAACAGCTAGACGAGGACGAAGTGGATAAATTATTTCGTAATTTTCATAATTTCGAGGTTTAAGCGGAGAGATATTTATGTTTGTCTGGGTGGATGGGGTCCACCTGTTGGGACCTACCCATGAAAAAGTATGGTGATGGCATTTTCGTAATTTTATTCTCAATTTCATATAATATTTTTTAATTATCAGTAAAAAACACGTAAAAGAATAAATTAATTAAATACATTAACTAAATCAAAGAAACATTAATAACTCAAACCTAAAGGAACGCCCATAACTGGTTCATGCAGATTTGGCGGTTTCATCTCTCTTTCCGTTACTCTAACGGCCAACATCTCCCCCTCCATCCTTCCATCCTTCCCCATCCTCTGATCCATTCTACGGTAAAATCAAGAAAAAATTATCTGGTTATCTCTGCATTTCAATCCTTGGATTTAGTAATCTTTTACATTTACAGCAACATTTTTCGTGCTTGCTCAGAATCTCGTTCTCGAGAATTGCTCCCCTGCTTTCTTAAACTCTGTTTTTTCCTTTTCTCTCTTGATTTCAGGTCTTTTCTTTCTTCTTTCTCTCAAAGAGATCTGCCCTTAAGCCATGAAAATAAAAACCCAGATCTTAGTTTCTCATCTTTCACCTTGAATAAAACTGAACGTAAAATCCAAACAGAACGTAGAACAAGAATAATTTCTGCTTCCTGACCTGAATTTTTGCAGGTTAATCCATAGATTTACAAAACAACAGTTTTTTCTGCTCATTTTAATTTATTCCCAAAAATTGATCCTCTGTTTTTGTGTACTTTTTTTCTCCCTCGTATTTTTCTTTCTCCGTCTCTCAATTTCTTCATTTTTCTCTTAAAAGGGTTTTTTCCCCCTTTAAGCTATGAAAACAAAAACCCTGATCTTATTTTATGTTATTTTGTTATTTACCATCTTAAATAAAGCTGAAGCTCAAAGCAAAATCTCACAGTCAAACCCTGGTCCTTATATCTTAGCATGCGGTGCATCTAGCGATGCGAAGGATTCAGATGGCCGAACATGGAGATCCGACTCAAAGTTTCTTTCTTCTTCTAAAGATGCCATAACAGCAACAGCTCAATACCAGGACCCTTCTCTGCCATCTGCAGTTCCTTACATGACTGCGAGGATTTTCACGTCTCAATCGACTTACAACATCTCAGTCCCAAAAAACAATCGCCTGCTGCTCAGACTCCATTTTTATCCATCAATTTACAGTAATCTCAACCCTAATGACTCTTATTTCGGAGTCATCGCAAATGAGTTTACTCTCCTAAAAAATTTCAGTGCCTCGATTACAGCGCGAGCACTCACACAAGCTTACATTGTCCGAGAATTTTCTCTTTCACCTTCACAATCTGGTAATCTCAATGTCACGATCTTTCCTTCCTCACAGCAAAATGGGTCTTATGCTTTTGTTAACGGCATTGAGGTTTTCACCATGCCGGATATCTTCCTGCCGGCCGCTCTGGTTGGTTTCTCTGATCAAACTGTTGATGTTGGGAGCTCTTGTTTACAAACAATGACTCGATTAAATGTCGGCGGGCAGTACATTTCTGCAATCAATGATTCCGGTGGGCTTGATCGGACATGGTATGATGATACCCCGTATCTCTTCGGTGCTGCTTCTGGTGTCACCTCACAAGCCGATAAGGACGTTAAGATTCAGTATTCTAACGATGTGACTGAGTCTATTGCGCCGTTAAACGTCTATAGGACAGCAAGATCGATGGGCCCAAATGGAACAGTCAATAAAAACTATAATCTTACATGGGTTTTTCAGGTTGATGCCAATTTTACTTACGTCGTCAGGTTCCATTTTTGCGAGTTTCAGCTGGATAAGTTGAATCAAAGAGTGTTTGATATCTTTGTCAATAACCAAACTGCACAGCCATCTGCCGATGTGATTGCCTGGGCTGGATCCCCGGGAGTGCCTGTTTATAAGGATTATGCTGTTTATGTTAGTGACCAGCCTGATTATGATGAAGAATTATGGGTGGCAATGCATCCCAGTGCGTCAATGAAGCCTGAATATTATGATGCAATTCTCAATGGGTTAGAGATTTTTAAGCTGAATGACACAGAAGGAAACTTGGCTGGCCTGAATCCGACACCATCAGTGATGCCTACTGGGGCTGAGAAAACAAAGGAGTTTAGTACTTCTAGGTCAAGTAATAGTGCACATGTGATTGGTGGGATTGCTGGAGGGGCTGCTGGGTGTGTTATAGCCTTTGTTGTTATCATTGTGATCACTCGGAAGAAGAAGAATTTTAATCGCAGCAAATCTGGATCGTGCAGTGGTAATTGGTTGCCTATCTATGGAAGTTCTCACACATCAACAAGCAAATCAACAATATCAGGTAGAAGTAGTGCAGGTAGTCATCTGTCAAGCCTTGCAGGTGGTCTGTGTAGGCATTTCTCACTGGGGGAGATAAAATATGGCAGCAAGAACTTTGATGAGTCAAGGGTGATTGGTGTTGGAGGATTTGGAAAGGTTTATAAAGGAGTCATTGATGGAGGGACAAAGGTTGCCATCAAAAGATCAAACCCATCTTCAGAACAAGGAGTTAATGAGTTCGAAACCGAGATTGAGATGCTTTCAAAGCTAAGACACAAGCATTTGGTTTCCTTGATTGGGTTTTGTGAGGAACAAGGAGAAATGATTCTGGTTTATGATTATATGGCTAATGGAACACTAAGGGAGCATTTGTATAGGGGTGACAAACCTTGCTTGTCATGGAAGAAAAGGTTGGAAATATGTATTGGGGCTGCAAAGGGACTACATTATCTTCACACAGGTGCCAAGTACACAATCATTCACAGAGATGTGAAAACTACAAACATTTTGCTTGATGAAAATTGGGAGGCAAAAGTATCCGATTTCGGGCTATCAAAGACGGGTCCAAATCTGAATCAAACACATGTTAGCACAATGGTGAAAGGTAGTTTTGGTTATTTAGATCCTGAGTACTTCCGCAGGCAACAGCTGACAGAGAAATCTGATGTTTACTCTTTTGGAGTAGTCTTATTTGAAGTATTGTGTGCAAGGCCAGCCCTTAATCCCAGCTTGCCTAAAGAACAAGTCAGCCTTGCAGATTGGGCTCTAAGTTGTTTGAGAAAAGGGGAGCTTGGTGAGATTATTGATCCTCGTCTTGAAGGACAGATAAACCCTGAATGCTTGGAGAAATTTTCTGAGACGGCAGAAAAATGCTTGGCTGATCATGGAATTGAGCGGCCATCAATGGGTGATGTGCTGTGGAATCTTGAATTTGCACTTCAGTTGCAGGAAAATCCTGATCAGGCTGCAAATTTTGTTGCAGTAGAAAAGCCTGATCATGCTGCTGCTCATTTACAAATGTTGAGAATCATTGATGAGGACAATGTGCTGGGGGAGGAGGAGACTGATGACTCTAGTTCAGGTGTAGTTTTCTCTCAGATGGTGAACCAAAGAGGAAGATGATTAATAACAAGCAAGTTTTAGGCTCCTCTGATTGTTTGCTACTAGTAAACAGAACATCATGCAAAAGAAAAAGTTTAGGTTCTTTGAATATTGTTCATTTTTAATTTTATTTGGTTTGACCATTATCATAGTATCATGAGCTATCTGTTTGGCTTTCAAATTTCCCCTTTGATATGACACTGTTTTAGAAATGTGAAGTAAAAAAGCTGAAGAATTTATGAGAATATCTTTTTGGGACTAGACAATAGAAAGGTTTATAGGCTGATGATTTAGGATCAACATGGCAGGTATGTACTAATATTAAACTATATGCCAGAAACGTGCTACATATTAATATATAAACTCTGATAGGAAACCATCATAGCCTTGTTCCAATGGGTAAATTCTGCAATGCTCCTGAGTTAATTTTCTAACATTTTTATTATATAATATTTGATAATAATCCGTTATATTTACTATAAAATATTAATCAATTCTTGCATACTATGGTGCCGTCAGTAGGACTCTCTCCTTCTCCCTCACCCATACACACATAGTAGGGGACTCTTCTTCTCGCTTGTGTATACATATGTGTATGCATATATCAGTTCTCGAGCAGTGAGCCTTTGGCTTTGATGGTTACCTGCAGTAACCTCCGCAGGCAACCAACACAGATACTGCCAGAGAGAAAGAGAGAGAGAGAGAGAGAGAGAGAGAGAGAGAGATGCCATTTGCAGCTTTTGCTTCTTTATCAGCTGAAATCTACTTTTATCATTTACATACATCTATATATGTGTGTATGTATAAATCATCTTCTGTTTATATTATAATTTAATCGTTATCACTCCTATCATCCTATGACAAAAGAAAAGCAAGAGTAGGACAAGGAAAAAGACAAAAAGGAGAGCAGGAAGAGCACACTGCCTGCAAAGCAGCGTTCAGACCTTCCTTGCCTCATGCTTTTATGGAAAACAGCAGCTATAGCTCTTAGTGACCATGCACTAATGTTCTTAGCTGCATATATATTTATATATATATATGATAATCTATCAAAAAAGTAGCCGTAGCTCTTAACTCCAAAAATCTCATTCCAAAATTTACAAGTTCACCATTTTCTTCATGAACATGGAGTAATGTTCTTAGCTGCATAGATACATGCATATATATATATATATATGTATCAGATTTTGAGATGTGGGTTTTCTGGGTTTTGCTTAATTTGTTCCTGGGTCCTCAACAGAACTTGGCAGACTTGAAATGCATAGGGTACATAAACGAGTTTGAGTAAGTAAATCTGATGATTTGGCTGCTCTTCAATCCTTTTCCTCCATTCACCAAGCAATCATCATAAGAGAGCCTCTTGAAAATTGTTGGGTTCACCATTCTGTCAGAAGCAAACCAGCCACAATAAAGATGGATTGCAGAAGGTGCACACCCAGATACAGTGCAGGTATTCATAATCTGGACTATGAACTGTGGAATCCCTGAGCTTGAGCTTCTGCTTTGTGAAATGCTTATGTCTGTGCTCCTGCAAGTACCTGATCATACCCATGACTCGACATCAATCAAGAATTGAAAATGAACACATGCATATATATTGTATCTATGTGTGCATATAACTTACCAAGCAACAAGAGCTTTCTATGGATTGAGTAAGCTTGCTCTGCTTTCAGATTTGCTTGCGTTGATGACTGATTACTTTTATAATCTCCATGGGATGAAAAATACTGCAACTTGATCTTGTTTGAAGATTCTGTCAAACATATACAAATACATTAAGTGTATAAACTCAAAAATGAAAAAAGAAGAGGCCAAGAGGTACCTGAAAATAAAGCAAGACCGCAAACTACAAGCAAGAATATCATCGAGAAGGAGCACAAGTGACAAATAGTACTCATGACAGTTTATGATTTGGCTCATGTGCCTAGCTCCTCTTATATGTGTGTATATATATGTATGTATGTATGTATTTATGTATGTATGCAGTTTCCTCTTCCAACTTCTGTGAACAGAAAATCAGCAGAAGAGAGGTTTTGGGAAGATGCTCTTGTAGGGTTAGTGACCCCTAGTTGTGGGGATATATATATACATACATATATACGGGGATTGAAGGATCTGAGTAAGGTGAAAAACCACTTTGTCAACAAAGTACACTGACGGTGCAGAGATATGTAGGGCAGACTGAAGGACCTGCACCACTGCACCAGTTTCTTTCTAACAGTATTGGTCTAGTAGTCTATCCCATTTCAGCCCACTTTTTACTCTTGTCATGAAAAAAGATGATCGGCAGCCATTTATTGCATAGTGCCTAAAGGTGACAATACATATAATTTTTTTATTCAATCTACTTTCTTCTGTACTGCTTTTAAAATGCATTAAAATCAAATAATACCACAACCAAATTTTTTTTTATTTATCAAATATTATATCATATAGTTGAAGTGAAAAGCTGGCCAAGTCTTGGTGGGGATTGTCCTGTTACATCAAATCCCTATTCCGTGCAGCTCATATATATCCTGTGCCTTCGTAAGTACATCCCTGTTCTTGCCATGCAAGTGAAAACTGCAAGCCATTTTTTGGTAGTCAAAAACACAGAGGGTAAAATTTCACTTTTCCTACTACACTCTGATCACCTTCTACTTCCATCCCCCAAAGTAAATTTCAAAAGCAAAATCCTCCAATCTCTTGATAATTGCTTTGGAAACATTACAGCAATATTTCTCTATGTCTCACAATAATTTAAAGTTAATATATTTATTTGTTCAACATAAATCCTAACTATAATTGGGTAAGAAAGAATTCTTGAATTTACTCCAAGAAGAATTACTGTAATCCAAACAACCTTTTTTTTTTTTTTTTACCCAGGTTAAATTTCTCATGGTCACATCTTTTACCTCTGTGTATGTTGAGAATTAAGAAAAAAGTCCTCTTGGCAAATCAATCTTTGACCTGTATGTGTTTCCATTGGAGAAGACAAGATCAAAGAATCAGAAACCTGTTGGAGTCATGAGAAAGGACAAAATTCCAAGGGCAGTTGTCTTTAATAAGGGCGGTTGTCAGCTTCCCTAATGGCCTAAAACCATGGAAACTTGAAAGGCATGGCCTCAAAAGAATGAAGGACTTTCCTTATTTGGCTAATCCTGAAACCTGCAACTCTCTTCCACATTCACACCCAAAGGAGTAAAACTCATTTACTCCTTGCTTACGTGCATTTGTCAACTCTCCTCCATTCACTCCTCTTCCATGTTTTACACACCTATACATATATCTGTATGCTGATGTAGAAACAATGGAGTATTTATGGCTCATTGGTGATATATATATATATAATTAACCTTTATAATTCAATAGATTCTCTTTTTGTATCTTTAATTTTTTTAATGTAATCTTACATAAAGTGTAAATTCCGATTAGATCTAGACTAAAATATAGATGATATATATATTTTTATATATAAAATCCAAGGCCCAAGTGTTTAGTTTAATACGTCTGAGAAATATGAAGCTAAAGCCCAAAGTAGCAACTGAGAGTAGAAAGTAGGTCGTGTGTAAAATATCCATCAGGGGAACAACGCAAGCTTCAAGCCCAATAATTGGGGAACGGAACAAAATCCGTTAGGGTTTAAGATTCAGCCAGGGTTTTTTCCCTTGACAAATAGGTATTTATTGCTTTTTACTGTTCTTCTTCAGGTGCTAAGCGCCTGGCCTCAAATGGAGTTTGAGTAGGCGAATAAACGGGGAGAAAAATTTACAAGCTTGATGAGAAATGGACTCGGTTGATGACGATTTCGGTGATTTATATGCCGACAGTGAGGCTCAAGCGACTTCTGTTATCAATGGCGTAGTGGATTTCACCAAATTGTATATAGAACCGGAATATGCTACCAAAAATGACAGAATTGAGGCTCCTAGCCCCAAAAAGGATTTGGTACTCCATCCAGAGGAACACAATTCATTGACCGAAGAGTCAAGTCAGTCGGCAAACGATGATTTGGCTCAGAAAGCGGCAAGTTTCGAAGCAGACGCGAGTGACAGTGACGATGATTTGACCATCCTATTAAACGATGAGGATTGCAAGACGTTTCGAGTCTCCGCTGGGGCTTGCCCGAGGAGTTTTAGGCATGAGGAGGACGAGAATGGTAATTTTGGTAACGGTGCAGAGAGAAACGGGTCTGGTGAGAATTGGAAGTTAGGTGATGGACTGGAGCTGAATTCGAATGGTCATGGTGGTCAGAGAGGAAAATGCGTGAATGGTGGCTATAATTCGCATTATAAGGTATTTTGTGTTGCATGCGTGGATTGTTTGCTGGTAGAATTGTGCTAATGAGAAGTGAATCCTTTGGTGAGTTGGGTCGTTAGTGGAATGAATAGGAAATTAGTGTTTTTTTTTTTAAAAAAAAATTCTTTTAATCCAATATTTATGGTGTAAGTAGAGAGGTTAATTAGTGATGCTGCTGAATGCTGTTTGTTAGGTAATTGTTTGGATAGATTTTTTCTTGAAGATGCAGCTGTGTCCTAATCTTCAACTACATTGAATTGTGAATTCTGTTTCTTTAATGGAGGTTTATTCAAATTATGATGGCATTGTATCCCTTGAGCTTTCTCTAGATGACTAACCATTTCCAGCACTTCCCTCTGTTGCCTCCACCCAAACATCCATTCTTCCAGGGAGGATGGGGCAACTGAAGGGGGCCAGAATTACTAATGATGGAAACTGGTTAAACTTCAACTTTGGGATATGTATTATTCTGCTGTCAGAAATGTTCTCTTCAATGGTCAACTATATTGATATATGTGTAATGTCCTATAAAAATTTAATGAATTTGTTTTTAGCAGTGATCTAAGTGAATAAAATTTTCAAGTAATTGGTGTGATTCTTGTCCACTGGTCCTTCCTAATCCCATATATTTGCGGTCTTATATGTTTTTCTTGCATTTTGCCATGTAAGTAATATTATTCTCCTAACTGAGAGTATCTTCTGAATTTGCATAATGATTATAGTCCAGTTACTTATTTGAGTGCCCTTCAACAGTACATACGATCTCATGGATCAGCAATTTCAAGTAATATAAGAGCAAATGGATTTAGGGAGGTGGCATCTTTATCTTCTATGTCAGCTAGGGGTGATTTGGAGGATAATAGGGGTATCCAATTCAAGAGTTCTGGCTCCAATCAGGTTTCTGATACGTGTGGCAATCCCAGCTTAGTTGTCTCACCACCATTGTATAGGTTAGTAAATACAACCCTGATGCTTATTTAGACTACTTTACTTTCTCTCCAGTTTCGTATGGGAACATTCATTTATCATTGACATACAGAAGTGAAATTATAATTTAATGAGCTATAAAAAATAAAGATGAGAAGAAATTTGTTGAACACATTATGTGACACGTGCCTTCTTTTTATTTTTACTCAGAACAATATTGAATATAGATATCGACGCATTGAAGAAGAAACCATGGATGTGTCTCGGAGCAGATATTACTGACTTTTTTAATTTTGGTTTTGATGAGGAGAGTTGGAAACAATACTGGAAGTCCCTGGTAATAAGTCTATTCTCATTTATTTCAGGAAAAAAAAGTCTATTCTCATTACAATATATTGTGAAATAATTCTCAGTTTGTTGGCAGATGGGACTGGAATTTTTCAAAATATTTTTGATAACCAGGAATTCACACGAGGCAGGTCCCATAATGCCCCCATGGGGAAAAGTGCTCTTCCCTAATGAGTGCTACATCATAAGACATTTACGTTCATTACTCATCTTAGATTCCCCCTTCTGTGGGGGCATTAATAAAGAATCTTTTTGACAATGGTTATGTTGTAATATTGTGTAGGCTTTTCCTATTATGTTTTCTGAAATACTTTTAGTTGACCAAATTCTAACATTTATATGCTTTGCAAGAGCTATTTCAGCAGCAAGCATCCATGTGGGTAAGGAAACAAGTTTCTGGTTGTCCTAAACCTAATTGGGTGAGTTATTATAATTTTTGGAGACATTGTTATTTCAAGTGAGAAATAGTTTCAAGAAGATTGAATATCATTATGTTTGCACAAAAACAGGCTTCCGCAGTTGGAGATGAAAATGAGGAAGCTGGCCAAGCAGCTGCTAATAACAATACTCAAGGTAAAACATGTTCAGAATTTGCTGATGGCAGAGCAAGGACTTCATGCTTGGTATGTGTATTTGAAAATTATAGACCCACACCTCTCCTAGCCAAGAAAAAAATCTGACTAATATAACAATGGTGACATTTTTTGTTTTATCTCTAGAAGGATCTTGTTGGATGTGATTATTGTGACTTTACTGTTTCAGCCAAGGGGAAGAGCAATTCATGTTGAAGACGCTATTGGTGACCGTCAGCCATCAATGGACATAAAGCGTCCACGTTATCGGGATTCTGATGTGGTGATACAGGTGGCTTGTGTTTCACTGGATAAATTGGTACTCCAATCTAGTGTTTCTTGGTTGTGCCATGGTTTAACATGTTATTGGTAATAGATTCCTTTGCAGGATTTCACTGTAGATTCCTCTGGCTCAAGCAAGGAGGAAAAAGAACATACTGGTTGCAGTATACATGACACATCAAGAAATGGGAATTTACATGTAGATGATAGTAGAAATATTCAGTTTTCTGACGGTAGCGGTGGCAGTGGAGATGAATTCACTGCAGAATCTTTGGAGGAAGATTTCAGGATCCCAGATGTGTCATCTTCGTTGAGAAGGTTTGAACAGTATTGTGCATTTTGATTTGTCTATTTACAAAGAAATTACATCTCTTTTGTAGTTTTTCAAATGGCATTGTACATTTTTTTTAATTTTCTGTGTCTCTTGCTACATTGACTTGGTGAGGGATATTGCACTCAGCAGCTAACTTCGTTTGCGCTCTATGTAATTATATTTCAGAATATTATATTTTTGCACTCTATCTAATTCTTCTAGCTCTCACATTGCACTTGGTTAAAATCTATTTTATTTCAATTCAATTCATAGATCTTAAAGATTTGATATATCAAAGTTAGTCATAATTTATGTATAATTTAATTAATTTTACTCATGTCGCCAATTCTATAATAATAGATTTGTATTTATACTTATGAAGATCAAAATCATAGAAACACGGCATGGAATTGAATTGGAATTACAATAATATTTTTGTTCAAATTTTTACCTTGTTTGCATTTTATTCTCATTCATATTTCATAAACTTAAAATTTAAACCAAAGACAACCTTGTAGTAGAAGAAAGTACCAGCCCAACTCTAGTTCCACTTGTGTCGGGCATAACATGACACTAGTGGGGTTAAGATCTGTGTCGAACACTTGATATTTATCTTGTAAACTTGCTGAATCTTTAACTTTTTAATATCCAATCAGTTATGCATTCATAAATACTACTGAACCTTTTTTTAATAGTTTTCTTTCAAATGTAAGGTTGCTACCTTTTTGTGCATTTCCTGTAACAAACAAATCAAATATCCTTGCCGAAACTTTTGACTCTTATTGATTGTGTCCCCATATGTTTGGCTATAAAAAGTTGTTATCAAATACTTAAATCTGTACCAATATTAGATACTTGGACACGAACCTGAGCAGAGTAGTAAATAAGTTAAATTTATGGGTCAGTGTATGAAAAATTGGCAAGGAGTTCATTGCATTTTATCAATGGAAAGTTTCTAGCTCACTAGATTTTCCCATATTTTCTTATGCTTTGCTCAGCTACGTTGTATTAATATCCAGACAATAGCAGCTTTTGGTGACATCTCTGGAAAATATCGGATTTTTTTATCATGGCTATGGGTACTTTTTCTCTTGATGGATACATTAATGCAAATATTGATACTTCTAATCAATCTGATAATTAAAAAGAAGAAATTGGTAATCTTTTTCGTATATCATTATTAATCGATTAATTTTGAGGTTGTATGTTGCATTTGGTATATATCATTTACAATTGAAGAAGATTGCATGCAGTATTTCATATTTTGTTAGGCTATTAACAAATTCAATGCTTTTGTAGGTGTTCAATGCCCATGATTGCATCTAATCAGATGTCTTTGGACACTGACCGTCAAGAACATGCAACAATCTCTGTTATGGATCCCTACAACCATCCAAACATGAGTGCTTGCTGTTCGAAGATTACTGGAGCAAAGGAATCTGTTGATAAGGAAGAGAAAAGAATCAACACAAATGCAAGCAATTCTGATCCTTTTCGAATAGAGAAAGAACTATCAGCTGGTGGTCTGAGTCCTTGTAGCCTTACTACTTGTTCTGAGAGTGACACGGAGGCATTTAGAGCTACTGTTCATGGTGATCCTATGGAAACCTATGGTTCAAGACAACCATCCCCTGAGTTACAGGAATCAGACTCATCACACTATGAGAACTATAAAAGGCATGGCATTAAAACAAAAACAGAGAATGGGAAAGGACATTCAGGATATGGAAGTTCATTTCAAGAAAAAAAGAAACCCCTTGGTGAAAAACTCAAGTCTACTGCAAAAAGCAAGATATATCCTAAAAGTGATGACGATTCTCCCCTCGTACCAAAAAGAAAGGGTGACAGTAAAACTTCTGTGAGATATAAAAGTCCCCTTCAATTTCAAGAGGAAAGGACTCATCTTAGTCACAGACCATGTCTGGATTTTGAACAGGAGACCTCCACAAAAAATGCCGGCAGTGCTTCCTCTATGTCAAAATCAGTTGCAGAACTGTATGATAGAGATGACACATCAGTGGATGAGGGAAGATGGAATGGTAGGTTGCACGATTATCTTAACAAAGAAAACTGTGCTTATCACAAGGGAAAGGGAATTCATTGTGGTGGCCATGAGAGGTTTGCTGAAAAGCATGCTTGCACTGTTTATTCAAGGTATTCTCCTAGGAAATCTCATCAGAGCTCCAGAGATGATGTAGATCAATATGCCAGAAGAAATTGCAATGAGAAGGGGTACTATTCTAGAAGAGGATACACTAACAGGGACACGAGTCCTCGCACTTCAAAGGAGTACAGATCATTGACTTCAAAGTATTCCTGTGATCACAAAGGGAGGGATGCACAATGGAGGAGAGAGCAAGAAAAACTCCAGTTCAGGAAGAGAACTGAATATGAACACATAGATGATTTACATAGAGACAAGTATGCCCGGTCAAATTCATTCACTGATTGGATGAGGGATGATACTTTTAGTGAAACATATGAAGGAGAATTTCCAGTGTTTGAGAGAGAATTGGAATTTTCTGGTGGAAGGGATAGGTGTCGGAATGCTCCATGCTTGCTCTTCGATAGAAATTCAAGGGGAACACGTTATACGAGAAATCCAGATCATAGATTTTTCTGCTCTCAGTCACGTAGTGAATCTTGCCCTGTGAAAGGCGGAAGAGATGATTTTTGTAGAAATGATTTTCATAAAAATGATGTTAAGAATTTTGAAGTTATTGAAGCCTATGATGGGCGTAGGAGAAAAACACATGAGGATGAAGGAAGAGATGGTTGGTTTGGTGGCTGCAATGGTACTGAAGAAATTGAAAATAGTCTAATGTATAAGCACAATCAAGTTAATTTGAGGAGAAGGCAGTATAGTTGGAAATCTGGAGTATTTCACTGCAGTAAGGATGAGTTCATTGTAAAGCATCAACATGATGAATTTGTTACCAATGAGGCACTGTTACCCTATGAAGAAGCTTTGATGCGTGACAGAATTTTTTCTAAACATCGATTTGCAGAGGATGAGAGGCATATTGATGACATAGAGTTGGAGCACCATCGATACAAAATGATAAAAAGTGGGAATGGTTATCATTCTGCTACTAGAAGTACGGGTCTTTATGAGCATGAACAGTCATTCCTGAGGTGCAGGGATTCAGTTGACTTAATTCTTGGGGAAGTCGAGGTAAAGTTGGGGAAACTGAGGTTCAAACCTTGTACCATTGTACTTTGTATATACGACTGCTTGACACATGTCGAGCAAGTCTTCTTAATTCCTGTTAATGCTATTTTAACACGTGTATGCTTTATCTCTATTTTGTCTTCCTTTCATGTTCCATATAATTAGCTCTATAAAGGTTTTTGAGCATTTTTAGCTTTTGTTCACATTACTGTCAACCTTGTCATTGAGAGTGGATGCCTGGTGGAATATAATATTTTGTCAGCACGGGAGGTGGTTAAATAACTTTCAAAAGATCTGTCCTTTCTCAAAGTGTGTGCATGGCACTTAGATGAAATGTCTTTTACACCATCATTTTTTTAATCTTGGAACATGCACTTTTCTTATAGAACAAATTATGTCTTTTTTGGCCTAGAGCCTTTCGCTCTGTTGCTGCAGTTCCCTTCAGTTGGGTTCAAGGTCAGGTTTTTGAGGGTATATTGCCCATACTGAAGCATCATATACTTACAAGACAAAAGACCTACCAGGTCAAGTAACTCTCCCTTTTAGTTACTGGTAAGTGTATGGTCATATGCTCATTTTGTAGGGAAAATCCCATCAAGGAGGAGTTGTCCTAGATTATTAATTCTATTGCTATCAATAGACCACATTTCTATAACTTTGGCTGTATACGAGACATCTGTTATTTATGTTAAAAAAGAGGTGCTATAAGCCTTCTGAAATGAACAACTACTGGAATTTTACTTTAATCACAAATTCGAATAACTTCTTTGTACAAAATACTCAAGTTGGGTGGTATAGTTGGCTGATCTGCTACATAAGGCACTGATTGTGCCTCCAATTTTGGCATGACAAATTTCTGCTCTCCTGATGGGGCTTTTTTTTCCCTTTGGTTTTGATTTTTTCCTGGTGAGATAATGAGGCATCATTTATGATAACATACTGACCAAATTAAGGAGCTTTTCTATCTACAATTTATGCTATTCTATAAAAGAAAAATTAATCTTGGAAGGCTTTAGTTCTCATAAATGCAGTTAGTCCATTTAAGAATGAATTTCAGTTAATAAGGCTCTTGAATCACACTTGCCTTTTCCACTTATTATTTTCCTGTTCGTTTGGTTTCACTATTTCCTTGTTATGTTCTGCTCATGCGAAACCTGTTGTTTAGACTGTTTTCGAATTTCACATTTTTGTCCTCTAACCATTAGTCATATAGTTTTCTAGTTTATTTCATTTCTCGCTAAACTGCAATATATTGTAAATAATGTTAAGAGAAAAAGTGAAACTCTTATTATAACTAGTGTGATTTATTTTGAAGCTTTTTCTTGGTGTTCATGTATCCCTGTTAGTTCTATTATGATTGGCATTTTTTTAGTTTTTTGCAAGCAAACTGTAATCTTTTATGTTTTGACATTAGCCAGGTTGCACAAATACTGTAACTGCTTTTCCAGAACTAGTGAATTCACAATTTCTATTGTTGCAAGTAAATTGTAATTAATTATGTTTTGATATTAGTCAGATTGAACAATACTAGCACTTGCTGTTCCTTACTAGTGCACACACACATACACACTCTTGTATCCAGAAGGTAAAACTTATGTACAGTCATGCTTGCCTTAATAGCATTACATGTTCAAATAGTAGCGCCACAAATAAGTTTATAGGGCTTATAGATTATATGAAGTTACATCCCATTGTTTGATTGTCGAAAGAGGCATAAATGGAGACTGAAGCATCTTCTGTTGTCTTAAAACATTGACTTTGCATCCTTTCATTTTAATTCTATCCTTTTTCATTTCTAAATATCAGGATACTTAACAGAATTCGGATGTTTCAAAATTTCTTTATCCTGTAACATCTTTTACAGAAAAGAGATTCAATTGTCTACTGGGACTAACCATTCAGGCTATGTTACTTCTGCTCTACTAAACTAGGTAGTTGATAGCATATTGATCTTGCCTGTCAAAGTGGTTGTAATCCAAATATAGGCATGGTGCTAAAAGAAAGCAACAATATTCAGGATCAAGTTCATATCACGATTACCTGCAAACATCAAGGACAACACCAACGGCTGTGATAAATGATGGTGTACGCATTACTTGCTGTTGGGACATGCCTAAGGATTGAAAACTTTTCCAGCATATATGGCATTTTCCAATTATTTATGTTGAAGGGCACGATATCTGCCTGCACATTTCATTTAGTACCAAGCTAGAATAATTGCATACATTTTGATAGAAAGAATTTTGCAATGTCCTGGGAAAGATTGACATCTAACAGAAACATGTTTGGAAAATGCTAGTAGATGGAGTAGGAATATCTCATTTTGTTTTGTCTTTTAAATTTGTCATGTTCTGTAGTCATTTGCATTTAACATGAGATTTGATTACATATATTATTTAAAAGCAATTGCACTTGTATCATTTACATTTGCAATGCATGCTTTATTTTCTCATAACCAGTTCCTTGTGCTTTTGGAGGCAACTTTTACTTTTCAGCTTTCTAGTTTCCTATGGTTTTCCTACATATTCATTTTCATTCCTTTGTTTTCTTGCCATATAAATGAGTGATAGCTCATGACCACTTGCACACCGGTTCTTTACTGTCTTGTGGATAGCTTGATGGATATATTTATTAACATATGTTGCTTGAGTCAACTACTTTCAACTTGTTGGAACTCATGAAGTATGTAGTTCTAATTGTGTGATTCTTGTCCACCATATATTGCTACTTTTAGTGGTGTGACCTTGTCTGCCTCATATTGCCTTCTTGTGTGCTGTCGAGATCAGATGGAATGATGAGAAGTGGTTTAATTGTATGTTGAAGAAATGATTTAACTTGGCTATATTATGGAATTAATCACTTGATTTATGGGCTTTGTGCTTATAATGCTTGTTTATCCAGTTTTAATTGTGTGACACTTGTCTGTTGGATATTGGTGTGGGACATTGTTTTTTGGAAGACAGAGAGAATAAGTTTATGGGCACATCATTTCCGTCAGCAGTCCAGTCAGAATTGCTGCAACCTGGTTGACCTGATTGTAGGATCTTGCAACACAACTTCATACTTGGATGGCCTTGTTAGACTATATCTATATATGAAGGAATAAGATTTCTAATTTTAGACTAGCAGATCTGTTGTACCTTAGATCCAGTTGCTACTTTCCTTTTTGGTTTCTTAAAAGTAGTTCTTGCTAGTCAAAAGGTGGAATAAGCAACGGTTCTTTCCTTGGTTTCTTTCCGTACCTTCCTGGCTATTATCTCTCTCTAATATCATTTTTCTGCATCAAAACATTATTAAAGATTGCAAGCCTTGCTTTTTATTATATTATATTATGCTACATCATTGTGCGTGTGCGAATATTTGCCTCCTTTTTTGTGGAATTTCTTTTATTTTTTTTATGTAGATTTCAACATCTTGTTTATGGTATATACCATATGACCAGTATGTCACTTTTTACATTCTGCAGTTTCCCAGAAGATTCTCCAATGGAAGAAAGGTGATGCGTAATGGCAGGGTTAAAAATATGGACAAAAAGTTTATGAAGCAGCATATGACCTCAAGGTTTTTTAATGACTATCAGAGAGAGGAAGACCTCAGAAACATAGAACTCAAAACAAGTGATGAGAGATGGCTGGGTGAGCATCTGATTAAGGAACAGGATGAGAATTTGGACATTGAGGAGGGCCAGATAATTGTGGAAGAACTAAATATGGTCGATTACTCTGAAATAAAATCTGCACCTGAAACTGCAGCACATTACGTGAAGAGGACGACGAACCATACTGAAAATCCTTTGGGTAAGAATAATGTTCAAATTGATGAACAGAGGATACTAGAAACAATAGCGAAAATGGAGAAACGAAGAGAACGATTCAAGGAACCAATGTCAGTGAGAAAGGAACCGGAGACAATCCTTCATGCTCAAACTGAACAAGTACCTGACATCACTGAAAATAAGCAACAGAGGCCAGCTAGAAAGAGGCGGTGGCATGGAAGTTAGGTTCGGATCACGTACTGATAAATCTATTTACTTATTTACAGAGGTGCAATTACATACTCTGTCTAGGGATTCAGGTTTCCAGCTGCTATTGGATTAAAGGCAGCAATTTTAATTGGAAATACATCAATAAGATGACATACACCATACTGGGTTTGGTTTTGCTTTTGGTTCTTGTTCTCTAAGGAGGGGCAAGGAATTAGCTTGAAATTTCCAATTTGATTGACTTGAAAACAGAATTGTGTAAGATTCGTGTTCGTATAATGGGTGCGAATTCAAGAATTGTACCTTCTTAGATTTTCTGATGATTCTAATTACATTACCTTGCTAGTGAGATGGTTCTCCACTGATGGATATGACTGTGTCTGGATGCTGAGTTTTGTTTCTCACTGTTATATGTTCTTAAAAGAACACTGTGGATGCCATGGGATCCTGGTGATACCAGGGGTTCAAACCTGAGTTTCTCAACTGCCAGTGTAATTGAAATTTTCTTTCAAAGTAATTTTATTTTTTAAGTAACTTGTTGATAAGATTGGATTTAGACTCGAATCATATGGATTGGTTGTACCTAATTTGGCTCTCGTATTAGGGTTCACAACAGGTGCACTAATATTTGAGTTCGTGGGCGAGGAGGGATTTGTTATTTGAGCAAGTATTTTACTATTAAAAATTAACTATACGTTGTATAATTTTTGTTATAAATTTTAAGTTTTTTTTATAACTTCGTTCCATGTTTTATTGGATAATTTTATCCTCGTGCTCGAGATTTGAATTTATGTTATATAAATGTAAAAATAATAATTATGCATGCTGTGTGCATTTTCTTTGAGAATTTTATTACATTATTTTACAAAATGATTAATTATATTAGTATAATTATTCAAATATCACTTAATTATTAAATTAAAATATATAAATTTTTATTTTAAAAAATTAAATAATGGTAATAAGGAGGAATATAGATTTCAAAATAATAATCCTTATTTCAGCATATTTTACAAACCCACAAGCCCACGATCTTACGGTGCACATCATTCTATGGGATAATTTTTGCTTTTGATTGGCCTATCGCATAAAAAAAACTAACCAATAAACGGCATCCACGTAATCTGAAAAAATCTGCTTCCTACGATGAAAATGCCTGCACCACCCAAACAGCGCTGTAATACGTGGCTTACCTTGTACCAGTGACTGCTGACTATGTAATTACTAAAGTACCCTTCCACTAGAAGGGAAATCTCTCGTTTAAATTATCAATCGTGGGTATGGGTATAATGGTAATTCGAACCAGTTCGTCTCCTTTCCAGAGCCCGCCCAACTTTCTTCCCATGAAAACCAGACAGTTTAATCCGTTAAAAAGATCGGCAGGCAAGAAATGAATCTCTTCTCTTACTCTTCTTCTTCTTCTTCTTCCTCGAGAAAACCCGCCTTAACTACTCTCTTCTCTCCATCTCAAAACCATGAAAACCTCTCCAAACCACACTTTAAGCTCCCAATCAAAACCCTTACCCACTCGTCTCCCTCACTCCTCTCTCGCCCTCCATGTTCCTCTAAGTCCTCCTCTTCTCGGGTTCTCGATCCATCGCCAAACGTCACTCTCGGGCCTCTCAAAGAATCTTCCAGCGGCGAGGTTCCAAAGCAAGACTCTTCTCCTGATAGAATGCTCCTTGTTCGCCGGCCAGTCAAGGAAGAAACCGGCGACGAGTCAAACGACGAGGATCCAGATATAAAATCGCCGGCTACGTTTGATGCCGGACTAAGTGAGTTCGCGAAGAAGATGCCGATGTTTGAGCCGGAGAGATTGGGGTCTGGTACTTCACAAGAGAAGCCCCTTACAGTTAATCTGGATCTAGCCTTGTACAGAGCCAAGGTCTTAGCCAGGAATTATCAGTACGGAGAAGCTGAAAAGATATTTGAGAAGTAGAGCTTCCCGAAAATGGTTTTTCATATCGTAACAATTTTTTTTAATAAAATTTTAAGATAGCACTGTGGTTTTGGTGTATAGTGTATATACTATTGGCCTGAGATGGTAGACCGTACGTGGGGTTAGGGAGATATTGAATAAACAGGGAAAGTTGCAGAGGCTAGAGCTCTTTATGAGAAAGTTGCCAAGCTACTC